TTGTGATTATCATTATTAAATGTATTTTCATTCTTTTCTTCAAAAAAATGTACTTGGGTTTGATGCCCTGTTGGCACTAACAATGTCTCTGCTGTGGAGAACACTCTTACTCCATGGGGGAATGTTTATTAAGGGCTGGTGTGACTTGCTAGCTCAAGTGCCGGCGAGTGGGAACTTTGTAATGGGGCTCGATTACCTTCAGTGTGTGTTTGAACCCTGCGTTTTCAACAACAGAGAATGGTCGCATGTCCGCTGCTATAAAAACACCTATGTCGCTCATGTTGCTTTACAAGCGGCAGCTTTAGTGCCAAGTGGAGCTGAGTTTGCACTGAACTCAGGTGATGCCATTTCAAATGAGTCGGCATATTCCATGTGCTACCAGCTACATATTGGATAGCAGTTGCGCAATGTCTGCTTTTGTATGATCCACTTTTTTTTGTCCGTCGTCATTATACTGACTGTGAAAGTGAAGTGTTCCCCAACAGCGGACTAGAATGAAGAGGGAGGGTCTTCACACACACTGTTTTTCTGCAGTCACTATGACCATGAGCCGACCGCACATCTTGTCCTTCGCTAAAGGTGTCCCCTCGAATTTGAGACCCGTATGCGCACAAATAATTTCTGCATGTGGACTCGCTGAAATTGTTCGGTACATGTGCGTACCGAACCAAAAGGCCCATACCAGAAAGTTTTGGTTCGGATACATGTATAGTTGCTCCCATAGTGTGTGTGTGTGTGTATATAGTTTTATATATACATATATATATCAAGTGAGTTAATCCTTGACAAGTGTGCCAAATGTAAAAGGTTTCCTTGATGGCTCTCCAGAAATATCATCTAAGCATTTTTACAGCGCATGCAGCATATACACATTAAGTATGGAATGGATCAAGTGATAACTGCTCCCTCTATTGGTATTCCCACCAATTCAGGTGACAGACAGGCAGAGTTGTAGGGAATAAGAGTGAGAAAAAAACATGGGATTGGAGGAGAGGGATTTTGAGACTCAAGGGGAATTCCAAAGTGTCATTTTTGGCGGTGGTGAATGCAAAAAGCTTGACCTGTCTCATATTAATTTGCTTGCATGTGTCCAACTGTAATAATGCTATATAACGATGCACAAATTAGACACATTGACTTGTTTTTTCACTTCAACAAAAAAGAATGCAAATCTTGTTTGTTTATTCAAAGCACTACATTCCACAGCAACTTTCTTTTCTTGACAGTCACCATGATGCTTGTCAGTGATGACGCTACACAACAAGTTTGTTAAATTTTTTCTATTTATGTTTCACGTGGGCTGTGTATGGTCCCGTGGTCTGACGTTGCTGCCTTAAAATCTATATTGAGGAGTTTTTAAATAAAAAGCGGTGCTCATAAAGAAACTGCACACATGAATGAATTACGCCTCTAATAAAGGTTTGTGCTTCCACTGTATGACCATTCTGCTTCTTGAAATAGGTCATGTTTATTGAGAGATGCAGGCTGTACTATAGGAAGTGAAACTAGGATTTACCAGAGAAAGAATGTTCTTGTGACTCACTTCCTATCTGGTTCACACACAGCATATCTCTGCTACCTTCGCTGACCTTCAATCCTGCAGATACAGGAATGAGAAAGGGAGACATTGTGCTTGTGAATACAACAAGTAATTCATTCATAAATTAGATAGTTGTTTAACTAATCCAACATTCTCCTGCTGAGTTTGGAAGGTAGGCATTATACACAAATAAAAGTTATCTGACATTGGTTTTACAGTGAAGAGGATGTGTTCTGATATTATTGTGCAATTTTTATTCCACAATTATTCTTGCCAGGGGGAAATTGTGTTGGTAAAAATATTTACAAATCTGTCCACACTGAAACCAAGGATAGTGTTATATTGATGTATTCTTATCCATTTTCAATTCAAGATAAAGACATACATATAAGAGATTTAATAACAACAGTTTATCATTTTTCAGTTAATAAATAACAAGCATCATCACATCACCTTGCATTTGCCTCATAGCATTTTCAATTAAATGACAAAACAGCCTTTACATGTTAATGTTTAGTTCACTTTTTATGTTTTGCTCAGGTGGGAACATGTGTGGCGACAGATGCGAACCCTGCAGCTATGATTACATGGAAAAAGAATGGACAGCCCTTGGTAGCTGATGGGAAAGGTAAGATATCTTGTTGACACACAGAGAAACTACCCAACAGTCACATATACAGAATTCTGTCATACAGAGATTCCTCTGGGAAACAAGTGTTTATGTGCAGTGACAGAAGAGTAAGTGTTGTCAAAGTGTTGTCTATTTAACAAGATAATAGCTTAAACCATAGACAATAGAAATCCATTGTTTTCTGGTGTTGACCTGAAACTGAAAATTTTCAAATCATATTTATAGTGATAAACAATTATCAAGGCTATCTGTATTATCACATTATTGATACTGAAGTACTAGAAGTAATAGTTACTATAAGTGCTACTCATAGATGCACTGTGTGTGTGAATGGGTGAATGGCAAACTGTAGTGTAAAGTGCTTTGAGTGGTCTTAAATGAGAAAAGCGCTATATAAATACAACCATTTACCATTTTATACAAATAAAATATAACTGAATAAACCTGTAGCTCTGACACCACCTGCCACTCCGTCCACCACATGTTTAGAACAAGATTGAAATGTGTAACCAACCGATTAATCCCTACAGGCAGTAGTGGACTGCTGCTGAGGAATTTAACATGAAGAACAAAAGTAAATAAAAATATGAGTGTTTGGTTGAAAAGCTCAGAAAAAGCCAAGTGCTGCAAATAGTGGATGTGGATCTAGCAGCAGTAACTACAGACAACAGAGACGAGAAGCAGAGTGGGTCAAGGACCACATCTTCTAATGAGACCATTACTAACACCAGACTGGTCTTACAGCAGTAATAGGCAGAAGACAACAGGAAGCAAGACTGAATTTTTTTGCAAGACAGCTTTTCTATTCTGCTCTGGTTTAAAACAGATATTTGAATGCACTACTTTAATTTACTTCTACTCAGTCTATGTGATCACTTTAGATCTACAGAATTTTTTATGACAGAAAGTGAAGGAAGAAAAAGTCACTTACACTTAGAAGTCTGTGCATGTTTATCATCAGCCTGTCTTTGCCTATACAGCCACTGTTATCACACCGAGCATGAAGCTGGATCCAGCCACAGGCCTTTCCACCACCTCCTCCATGCTTCAGTATGTAGCCACCAAGGAGGATGTTGGCGCAGTGTTTGCCTGTGTGTCCACACATGAGCTGACCAATCAAGAGACGGACCTGGAACCTTTCCCCATCCACTGTTAGTGAAATAAAATGCAGTCCACAACTGTATGCATCTTATAACAAATGTGTTGGTTAGTTTGGCTAGTGGCTTAATTGTTTGACTGAGAGATGTTTATTTTTATTTTATCACTTGTAGGTGCTAAATACACAAAATGTCTCAACATCAGAGTGCATGTTTGTGATCAGGCAATGTATTTTTTTTCTAGGCATTTCTGTTTATATAACAAAATATTGGAGTAGGAAATAGATCTTTATACAATTACAAAGACTGTTTTTGTACATTACACCTGATTCATTCCTGCAGCTACCTGCATTCACAAACACAAACACACACACACACACTTGATACAATAAAGATACAACTGAGCCGTGTGTATGTATGCATGGGGAGCTTGTTAGCGGGACAGTCTACACATTTGGCTCATGATGAAAGATGATTTGATTGTTACAGATAAATAAATAAACTTAAAGTAAACACTACTTGGTAGTTGAATTGATCTGGTGTGAAGGTGACATGTGATTGACTCATGCTTCCCTTTATCATCTTCTCTTTTCCCCTCAATTGATCACTAAACCTCTCAGACCCATCAGAGAAGGTTAGCCTCCAAATTATGTCCAAGAGGCCCATTGTAGAAGGAGATAATGTGACGCTGAAGTGTCACGCTGATGGCAACCCTCCACCCAGCTCCTTCTTCTTCCATATCAAGGTCAGTCAGAGGCCATACATCAACTGAGTACTCAGGCAATTGTTTACCCCACATTGTGACCACGCATTACCATAAATATTAATGTCTTCTGAAATTGGCTTGAAAACTTCAACTTAGTGATGATATTTGATAGCTGAGTCTTTGAGTTATTGCTATGTGATTTGAAAGTCTTTAATCTGACTTAAGGTGAAAACAAATTTTCAAGTGATTAATTGGACCTCTCCATTGCATTCTTTCTCTAAGAAATGGCTCCTGTCTTCCTTTTTTCTCATTTCCTGATATTCTATTAGAATGACAGAAGCTAATGGCACCTCTCTCTTCTCCATGCTCCCCATTGTCTTATCTCTCCCCCAGGGCAAGAAAATACTGGTGGAAAATTCGGACACCTACATTTTGTCTGACATCAGCAGAGAGGCTAAAGGTGATTACCAATGCTCCCTGACTGACAATGAGAAACTGGAGGCCTCCCAAAGCATCGATGTTGGCTGTGAGTACTCATGACATATGCAGTGACTTAGCATACTGAAGCACAACACTGTTGCATTCCAGTTAAAACCTCTAGCTGCTGTCCTGGCTTTGCCTTGAGTCAACAAATGGCTACATCTCTAAAACTCGCCCATGTTCCTTCCACCTTGATTGAAATTTCTTACAAGAAATTTCCATTCACCGTAAATAAAGGCATGGCAGAGTGGCAAAGCATGGAGTGCCAGACAGGGAAGAGGAGAACTAATTAGAAATTTATGAGCAAAAGGGACAAGGTTTTTGGGTGGTAATTCATTTCTGGCAACTGCTAAGCTGTTTCCCTTCACCAGCACACCCTCAAGTAATTCCTCCCTGTTTACCAGGTGTATGTTTCTGAGTCTTCAGAACAAATGTGCCCTATGATGCCCCATGTCATACAAAAACAAGCTTGACACATTTTCCCTTCTCTGTCCCATATCGCAGTTTCAGTGCATTTTTTTTTTTTAAATTGTATCTTTATTTGGAGTGAATAGGAAAGTACAATCACGTGCCATCAATAGAAAAGATAAGAACAAGTGACGTTCCAGTTTTGATTGTTTGAGTACAGAGATTGTGCAAAATCAGCCAATGGGGTATATGAGTCCAAAACATGTACAATCACATATCATGGGTCAGACTTTGTTTGACCATTCGGATCCCATTCTCATCTAATAACATATACTTCGTAAGATTTATGCCAGAGTAGCATCGGTGGAAACAGGGTTATTCTCTTAAGCCATGAGCCACATTGTCTCCAGTATGGCATAGTTGCATCTTTATACCTCTCCTGATATGGAGTCTTGAAAAATCTAATGATATTCTTCCAGCAATGTTCTCGCCAGTCAATAGAGCTGGATGTTGTCCACTGGAAGGACCATATATTGCCCCAAGCCTCTTCAGAAATCTCAATCCCTGATTCCCTTTCCCATCTATCTCTAATGTATAAAGTTTTAGTTTTGTTGGCATTGGAAAGAGCTGTGTACAGCCTCGAAATGGATTTAGAACGGATCATGGCGTTTTTTTCAGAATGTGGTGGAATTCTGATTCAACATCTGAAAAGTCAGTTAATTTTCAATTAATGGTCAATATAGGAGCATAGTTGCAGGTATCTATGGAATTCGATCCTTGCTAAGCCATGCTTGTCCCGTAAGGCATCGAAGCTGTTCACAGTGTCTCCATGAGTAAGTGATATGAATGCCATGAGACCCTTCATTGTTCATAATTAAAAGCTGGAGTCATGTCTATTAGGAGTAAAATCTGAATCATAGGCAAACCATCTGAATATTCTCAACATGCATTTGACATATCTTAAGGAAATAATTCAATCTTAGTCTGTCTAGCTATATATCAGAATCTGTTGTGCATGAGAGTGACAGTCGTGCTTGGAAATGTAATCCAACTAACACATCAATTGAATTGTGTGGGAAAGGCTCTAGAGAAAGTGAAACAACATTTCGGTCAGACAACTGAAGTTCAACCGTTTACTGCGGTAGTAGAACATAGTTTGTGTTTGGTGTCTAGGCTCTGACTCAATCACTCCCCCGATATGATTACACAGATATGATGGGAGTGACTAGCAAATATTTGTAACCCCGCCTGAGCCTACAGGTGGATGCTGGGGTGGTGGAGGTCTGTTTAAATAGGCTGCCTAATAAGGTGGGTGTGTATAATAGATGATTGTGGAGAATAAGGTATGTCACATGATGTGTGTCACATGATTGGAGCAGCGCAGCTCAAGTTGGCTGCCTAAACTAGCTCGCAAGGTTCGCTCCATTAGTGGAATTCATCCAATTGGAAGGTCATTTATTATTTTCACCAGTGCTGTTTCGGTGCTGTGTCCCTTTCTAAAACCAGACTGAAGTTGGTCGTGTATATGATTCATAAGTAGGAATTCCTCCAACTATTTAGATATGGCCTTTTCTATAATTTTGCTAAGGAAAGGCAGGTTGGAAATGGGTCTGTAGTTGTTTAGCATAGAGAAATCAAGATTTGTTTTTTAAGGTGCTTTACCAGAGCTGTTTTAAGTGCATCTGGAAAGATACCTTTTTCTAGTGAGCAATTTAAAATGTCTAAAAGATCGAAAATGATTGACCAGGTGATTGTTATGCTGATGAATTTGATGATACTCAATTATATCTATCCGTTGCACCAGGTGACTCTGATACTCCAAACCAAGTTATAAATTTCCTCTTAAGAGAGGAAAAATGGATGAACAAGATAAAACAGAAAATCTCGTAATTGGTACTGATGGTCAGAGACAAAACATTATTAGCAAACCAGGAAGTCTTGCACAACACAACAAATTAAAGGTAGATAACTTGGGTGTTACACTTGTCTCAGAACTAGATTTTAATTCACACATAAACAATGTCACAAAGATTGCCTTGTATCATTTAAGAAACCTTGCAAGAGTAAGACGCCTGGATTATTGTAATGCAGTATATTCAGGATTGATCGACTACAAGCCAAGGTTATTATAGTTTTGAAATTTTCATTAGTTTTCATTTTTATTTAGTTTTTCAGTTTGCTGTTTTATTTCAGTTTAGTTTTAGTTAGTTCAACAAGCGATTTTGTAGTTTTAGTTTAGTTTTTATTTTGAGGAATCGACTAGTTTCAGTTTAGTTTCTATTTAGTTTTAGTCTTAGTTTTAGTCTTTCCGGGTATTAATAGAAAGCTTCGACTTGTAGAAGCTGAAAAAGGATGAAACAACGTGTGACACCAAATATGGTTTATCAAGTCCTTTAATTTCATTCTTTAACCATCACCTGCAGGACAGGCAGTAATCGATGGAGAAAACGAAAACGAAGCTGAATTTATCTGCAATTCAGTTTAGTTTTAGTTAGTTTTGCATTGTTCATTGTAGTTTTTATGTAGTTTTAGTTTTCTTTGTAATTGTAGTTTTTATTTTTATTTCAGTTATCTAAATTATTTTTTCATTGCTAGTTTTAGGTTTAGTCTTAGTTTTCGTTAACTATAATAACCCTGCTACAAGCAGCCAGGATTTTAATGAGAAATAGGGAAAGAGATCACATTCCTCTTTATTGCGTCTTTACACTGGCTTCCAGTATCACTGAGGATTGTTTTAAAATTATTTTGCTTATTTTTAAGTCTCTTAATTGTACAGCAGCCTCATACATATGTGACTGTTTATTGGACTATGTACATCTCAGAAGGTTTTTTTTTCCAGTTAATGTTTTTTTTTCTCTCCACAGTCGCGAAGGTGCTGCTCATTGTGGGAAGTGTTGGGTTTCTGTATATATA